TCAGATACCCAATTCCCATTTTTCTAACATTGTACATATGTGTCTTGGTCATCTGGCACGTCCTTTACTGCTTTACTGCTGCGTGTTCGGCAATGGGTTTGACAACACACAGGGTTTTCACTTTCGGACCGCATGTTAGCATTGGAAGGTGACAATTCGGCCATACCCAGATTCACCAGTGACTGCCCAAATACCCATCAGTCGAACGTACATCATCTAAACGTCCCTCCTCACAAAGATCGTGCTGCTGCAGAACGACGGACCCTGATTTCCTATGACGCTATCTCCCTGTCATGTAGTCGTGATCGTCTCCGTTGGAAAACACTATGCAAGGCAATTGTTTTTTGCCCAGAGTAGACTCACGGGTGTTTGTTGCCAAGAGCTGGCTGTTGTTACTGTATGCCACGGTGGTGAGTGTGAACAGCGCGTTGCCCACGGGGTCGTCGCAAAGCCGGGGAGACCTGCGTCCTCACCAGCAGACACTCATCGATGCCGTTGTCCTGCTCGGCCTCCAGCTCGTCCAGGTCCTCCCGGACCGAGCGGTCCAGCGAAGACTCGGCCTCGTCCCGCACAGACCGGTCCAGGCCGCTGTCCAGGTCGTCTGGATCCTTCAGGCCGCTGTCTGAGGAGCATCCGAGGTGCCAACCGGCCGTTCACAACAATGGCGGTCCGAACCGGCCGTTCACAACACGGGCAGTCCGGACCGGCCGTTCACAATACTGGCAGTCCGGACCGGCCGTTCACAATACTGGTGGTCTTCACCGGCCCTCCACAACACTGACAATCCGGACGGGTCCTTCACAATTCACACGGACCGGCCCTTCACAAGTGACATGATACACAAGCAATGTCCAGTCACATTTCCGGGGTTCCCGATCAGGCGAGGCAGAACACCGGAGACCCGGATCGGTTGATCACAGCGCCGTCCACAGCGCTCTCTCGGAATCACGGGAAGAAAGAACGTCTTTCACTGAATCTCACGTCCAATCCATCCGGATCTGTCGACTCGCTTATATCCATGTCTCACCAGGTATGTCGCAACATTGCCACAAATGACTGGCAATCACCAGCCATTCGTTGCCACATACAACCAGCACGGTCTTTGACGTGCGAAAACACCACGCCACTCGTCGCGACACTTCCTCGGTTAGCCTGGCATCGTTCGGGATTCGAGAACTAACCACAGCACACTAACGCGTGCACCGGCTCGCCCGGGACTGACCGAGGTCATGCATGAGCCGCGGGATGCCGTACTGCACGTCGTCGAGCAGGGGTCGTCGGCCGGAGCCGTGCGAGCGCACGCTCTCGCCGTCCCACAGGCTGTCCAGCTCGTCGCCCAGCGTCGAGCTCATCTGGCTGCCGGGCCGCTGGTGGCGCCGCGGCCGGCCGCCGTCCTGCAGCGTCTGGCGCAGACTGTCATTGGTGTCCTGGATCCGCCGGTTCGCCTCCCTGCGGTGGCGGCGCCGGTCAGGCGTCAGTACCACCGACGCGACGGTCAGGGCGTCAGCACCGTCCGACGTGGCGGTGACGCTGGACGAAGCAACGGTCAGGGGCGCCAGCACCGTCCGGCGCGGCGCTGGCCCTGGGCAAAGCGACGGCAGGCGCGTCAGCACCGCACGGCGCGGCGCTGGCGCTGGGCAAAGCGACAGCAGGCGCGTCAGCACCGCACGGCGCGGCGCTGGCGCTGGGCAAGGCGACGGCAGGCGCATCAGCACCGCACGGCGCGGCGCTGGCGCTGGGCAATGCGACGGCAGGCGCGTCAGCACCGCACGGCGCGGCGCTGGCGCTGGGCAAAGTGACAGCAGGCGCGTCAGCACCGCACGGCGCGGCGCTGGCGCTGGACAAAGCTACAGCAGGCGCGTCAGCACCGCACGGCGCGGCGCTGGCGCTGGGCAAAGCGGCAGCAGGCGCGTCAGCACCGCACGGCGCGGCGCTGGCGCTGGGGCGACGCGACGGTCAGGGGCGGCGCTGGCGCTCGAGCGGCTCCGCGAGGGCGGCTGGATGACACCTTCTGTTGCCGCTTGCTGGGCTCAGCCGCACCATTGGTGCCAGATGAACACATGAATCTCACCGAGGTCATTCATAGGACTTGTATTTGGTCGCAGTTAACAGAAGCAACAAGCATACATCTCCTAGGGCATCAATAAATCATTATGGAGGCCAGTCTCGATCAACATGAAAACCCCGTCTCAGTCACACTTACACCATATTCAACGCTCCCTGATGTTGCCGGATACAACACGCGTGCAACAGACGCATGAAACGCCTGAGATTGTGCACGAAGTGATTATAGCCTACATATACTCACTGCAATACTTGCAGTTGTCTTTGTACTTGCTCCTGGCGGGCGACGTATTCCTCGAGCTGTTGACGCTCGCTGTAATAAACCATGCATTTGTTCCATTTTCTGACCGGAGAACAGGCCACGCCTGCACGCACATGAACGATTTCCAGCAGGCCGGCACTTGCGATGGAACAATTTTGCGATCACAAGTACTTTCCCAATAGTCACTGGCACGTTTTCTCCGAACAGGTCTCAAAGGGATGAAGTTAAGTCAGTCGGCTCCGCTATTAAACCATCAATCAACGAACACAATATTTGTATCCGGGCACAACGACTTGCGTTGATCAAGGGCTCAACGACGGCGTTAAAGGTCGGATAAAGGAAAATGTTCCACTGGCTTCAGCGACATACACTTTCCAATAAAACAATGTGAAGGCTTTAAACGAAACTTACGGGTTAGTTTATCAAACGTCATCATCCTTTCCTCCCGCGAGGGCTTAGGCTTTTAACAAAATGCACAATGTAAACTTATATGCATGCTGCGCATAGTTCGAGCAGCTTGGCAGCAACAGCTGCCTCAGGTACGTCGCCAGCAGACACCTTGAAACGCATTTTGGGTGGTCAGTACACCATCACGTTTGACATACTCTGTGACGGACTGTCTCGGTGTCAGCTTACCTGTGCAGTTCCCGACACTTTTCTTCGTACTGGGACCGAATCTGAGCCATATCGGCTCTCATCAGGGCGATGCTGGTTTCAGTTTCAGTCAGGTTCATCTGCCCAAAACACTTTCTCAGACTCACAGGCAACCAAGGTCCTTGTGTGTACGTTGTCGATGTAATTGAAACACATTGTTTCAACAGTAGTATTCAAGAGGATGTTCATTGCATGAATGTATCTTGTATATGCAGGCTAACACATGCATGTTTGAATTGAAAGCCAAGTTCTTTGAAATGCATGTAGACAGTGAAAGGTAATTCAGAATGCTATTACAATGCATAAATGCATTGGGAATGAGGGCCACAGTATATAGCGATGTCTTACACAAATACGATAAGTGTACCAAGTGCATCACTCTTAATTTTCCAATAGCCTGGCGTATATGCTATGATTATGCCGTGTGACGATAAATTCAGAGCGTTATGACATGGTAAATCTGAAACAGTGTCAAGCACAATCGAGGCAGGTTTAACACTTGAAAACCAGCAAAGTGAGGCCTGTTTCACGAAGCCAAGGTTTTCAAGCTGTTAGGTACATTTGTGAGGAGCATTATGCATACAGATAACACAGTAGAACTAGTCTTAATCCTCGCAGAAAAACCAGGAGAATAAGGAGATAGATGCGGTGATATTTCAGCAACATGCCTTTACCGAAACGAACTATTCTCCTGGTTTTTCTACAAGGAGTACAGCTATTACTACTGTCTTATCTATAAGCCAATTTGTTTCATGCAGGTTCTGAGATTATGAGACTGTGGCATATGCTAAAATCGTTTGATGCAAAGGCTTGCATCACCGTTTATGGTCATACGTAGCAGAAAAGCAAAGACAAGAAAACGAACGTTCTATCAGGCACAAACGGCACTATTGTGGCGCAGAAATAGCATGCCACGATTATGCGTTGCCGTTGGTGGCAGCCTCGTTCCTTGTTGGTGTGTCCTAAACGTATTAAATAAAAAACAAGCATGCATGTGACACCGGTGTAATCATGTGAACGCTCAGTGGAAATGCATGTTATGATCGCATGGCGTATGGTCACTGCCAGCATAACATGGTGCGTTCTTTTAGATATCACGCCTGGTCTACACGCGCAACACTTACACTGCCTTTCATCCATGACACTGAGGCATAGTTTTGATCTACGTGGAACTTCCTCAATAAATTGATCTAAACTCTGATTAAATGTAGCTAAAAGGGCTGTCACTATCCTAGTCTCCCTTGCCTCTTGTTGGCAAAGATCTTGGACTAAAATGGCATGTATTTTCAATGCAATCACTTTAGAACGTCTTGTCTGACAGACATTATGTCTCGCATCTGAAAAGGTCGCTTTGAGTCACGGTGTGTACCCCAGGCATTTTGATCTGCGTACATGTTTCAAATCATAGTAGCGATTACTTTGAGCCGTAACATGCTTGCACGGGTAAGTTGTTAAACATGGAAGGGTTAACTCACCCTGAGACCTCGATTTTCGTGCGTAGCTTCCTCCAGTCTCTTCTGCGTATCTTCGCTACCAACTCGGCTGTTGTCCTTTTGAAGCCAGTTGTCGACCTGTTGAAAGGCACAGCGTTCAGGTTTTAGTTATATTACCTCGCTCGTCAGACGTTCGCGTCATGCTGCCAAAAAGACCGGTAATTCGGAAGCGAAACCGCCAATCACACATGCCACGCTGGCTATTTGGCATTATAGACACAAGGCGCACCCCTAAAGCACAGGAGTTATCCAACGCGAGGCGCACCATTCAAACACGAGAGGTCATGACCTTCACTGTCTCTAAGGGACTGGCGAATCCATCGACATCCCTACCGCGGTAGCCTGCGCCATACGTGGTTCCAAAAAAGGCCCTCCCTATGCATAGTGGGGCCTCTTAATCGAGGACAGGATTCTTGTGATCAACGAGGGGCCTTCAAATCTAGCTAAGGGGCCTCGCTATCCCAAAACGGGGCATCCCAATCCGGAACCGCGGCCATCTGATCCATGAAAGGGGCCTCCTGTTTTAGAAATGAGGCCTCTTGAATACAGAGGGTGCCTCCTGACCCAGAACAGAGGCCTACTTGTTTGTAATTGAGGCCTTACAAGTCAGCAAAGTCCTTACCACAACATCGGATCGTTTGATATAAAGCATTGGCTTCCGTACTCATAAAGATGGTCTCATGCTACAGAAATGGGGTCTCTTGATGTAGGAAAGGGTCAATGAGCCCAATTTATTGCTCCGTACCTCATCTAGAGGGACCTCCTTAATCTGAATGTTGATACTCCTCATATAACTAAAATGCCTTTAGCATTGAGACAAGAAGTCTCCCAAAACATGGGGAGGCAAAAATATACTCTTGCCCCCTGCTTCCAGGATCTCCAGTAAGTTTGGTACGACCGTTGCAGCACAGAAGTGGTAAGGCTGCCATCTGCGGATCCTAGACTCAACTGACCAGCTCCTCGGTGCGGTCATTAAACCTCGCCGTGCTCTCGTTTTATGCTTCCCAAATGGATCGGCACGACTGGGGTTGTTTGAGCGTGTCATTGTCGCAAGACACACTGCCAATACACCCACGCGCTCCGGCCGAACAACGGACTCCAGCCCAGGGGCATGCCGTGCGCGTGCTTTGCCATGCGTCGGGTTTTCCCAAGCTTTATGCAGCGCGGTGGGGTCACCGGTGCTGAGACTGCAATGCGGCGCGGCCGCTAGCCGTGGAGCCCAACACGGCGGGATAGCCGGAACATTGGAAATCCCCGCACACATAAGGTACAAACTGACAGCGTGAGTGCATATGGCCAGCGGGCCGATTACGTGTGATTGAATGGTGAATATGATGAGGTGTTTTTCAAGCCTGTGCGGCTAATCGCTCGGCGCGATGCAAAGGCATGATAAGTGTGAACCTACAAACAGCGATTATACGAAATAGGACGGCTGGAGCATCGGATTTTCTTCACATCAATAATAGAAAACGATCAGCGGCAGGGGCGTACGACAAGCGAGCCGATTGCGTAAATCTAACGCCGAATGTGATGGTGTGCTTTACAAGCTACCGCAGCAACTGATGACGTTGAAACTGGCGTGGAAATGGAAAATTCTGCGCGTGCGGACTGTTGGCGACTTACAGCGGGCATGTCAGGCTACTGTTGTACCAGTAACAACTAGACTATTACTGGTGGGTGCGTATGTCCACGACACGATCAGGCGGAATCAAGTGGCAGGCATGAGCTTGTGCTTTGCGAGCTTATATTCAGAAAAACCGGTCAACTTCAACCGGCGTGAGAACGGAATGCGTCTTCGCGGAAGCGTAGGTACTAGGGGTGGAGACAAGTTCACAGGTTTCTTAAAATCTAGCATTTACCTTTGAGCCTCGACTAGACAGAAGTAACCAAACTGGCGATCCCCCCAATACAGGAGAACGTCCGTTGCCCCTGCGCCTATGCAGGAGCCGGCTAGCATCCTCACTGAGCGTTGATCGTAAACTAGCTTTTTTGGGGGTTAATTGTACGGTGTTACGGAATGCTGGAATAAACAAGGCAAGCCCATATTTTGTTACGAGACTCAAATATTGCTGTGGAAGACTGAGTAGGTGGCCGCCGACGCCAAAACACTGCCTGCCCTGAACAAGATACACACTGACGCGCGTGCTGCCAACGTTTTTTTTAACGTGCTGCCCATTTGTTTTGCTTTTTTACCCCCTTTGTTTGGGCTTGCTGCCCAATGCCCTGGAGTGGAGTGAATGTTATAATTGGAGCGCATCGCCACTCGTATGAAACAAACAAATATTTATCACTCGTACAGTTAACGTTTTTCCGGCTAAACAGAATGCCATCACAGGTACACACTGTACCCCGCACCCCGGTTTGGCTATTCATAATTCTACCTGCATGCCACTCTTAAGTTAAACATAGCGCCGCACATGAACACCTCAAGAACACAGCATGCGTGGCTTGACATTCATGGCGACTAAGCAGACAGGGACCGAGCACTGTCGGCCCCGCGCACAGGTACGGACCGAGCACGGCCGGCGCCATAGACAGGGACGGACCGAGCACGGGGGAATGTAGGCAGGTACGGACCGAGCACGGCCGGCCCCGTCTACAGGTACAGATCGAGCACGGCGGAATGTAGGCAGGCGGAGACCGAGCATAGCGCATCTAGCGCATCTATTGCAAAACAATTAGCTACGGCAGACAGAGTCGAAAAGCTCGACACTCACTCGCATCGCCGGCGGCGGGCTGCTGGCCGCGGACTGCGAGGCCGTATGAGATCGAAGCGCACTATGGTGGCTTGCCGCTTGAGGCTGTACAGTTACATTATACACCTGCCATGTACATTATACTCGACGCTAACTTTTACGCAATTGGCTCGCTGATCATATGCATCTGTCACCAACATTTTTCGTTATCGGTACAAAGGTACCGCTATGTTTCTGCCGGCTTATGGTGAATACGTGGCGTGCGTACATCTTCATCTTGCAGGCCATTACATTTTTACAGTCTGCCGCACAGGCTTGCAAAACACAGTGTCAAATTTGTCATGACACGCGACGTCAGCTGCTCGTTGGTCATAAGCCACTCCCGCGGACGGTTTTTTTCATTATCTGCACGAGTATTTTGATGTTCCGGTCGCCTTTCAGCATAACGCCCGGCGCCTAGCGGCCCGCCACGCGTTGAAGTCTCCCTGTTCAATGGTGTTGCACCAACGGCAAGTGGAGATAAAGCGAGAATCACTGGACAGTTTAACAACTTTTATACGGCCTTGCATTGGCTCAAGGCCATATCACTGGGTCTGTGCCTGACTTCATAGCTGCCAATATGAACAAGAGACGACACCACGCTCCAGCACAACATCAGCACGCGCCCATCCCCTCCTTCCCCAATTACTCCGGCCCCGACAGTCCACGTGGGGGGGGGGGGGGGGGCGGAGGGACGGGGGGGGGGGACAGCCGGCCCCGGCGGCGCGCCGGATCCCCAGTCTTCGTGCGTTACACACAAGCCGTTGGTGCATGGACCGTGCCTTTTCAAGTGGATAACCACTTTTTTGTTTTTGAAATGTGTGGACCATGTGCCCTTCAACGCGCGCCCAGGTGGCCGTTCCTATACCCTTCGCTCGAGTGGGGAGGGGGGGGTCAATTTGACCTCCTGAGATCTCAGGGCCTAAGGGGTCTAAAGACGCCAAATTCACAGGGTGTGTTGCCGTGTACCTGAACGCACTTAGGTCAACGTTTGAGATTCTTAGGTCATGATCTTCAGGTCAAATAAGGTCAAGCAAAGTCAAATTCCAGGTTGGTCTCCAAAGGGCTCCTAGAACCTAGATAATTGTTCTAAGCAAAACGCCACAGCCTCATCTCATGTCAGTGACGTTGTTTGACCTTTTGAATGTTACGGTGATCAAAATCTTACAATACTGCTTTGAGTTATGCATTTAGATAGGCGACAAAGATTACGCTAGCGGCATGTTCCTAAAAGCAAAATATTGGCCTGGATTATTCCAAGTTATGTTCCAAGTGATCTATTGTGCCCTTTAAATTAGTCCATGGAAGGTGTATAACGTGGTTCCTGTTATCAGCAAATTCGAAATGAGCACCAAAAACTACCCCACACTGCAAGCTTTAGAGTGATGAAACAGGTTG